GTGGCAGCCTGGTGTCAGTGGCAGCCTGGTGTCAGTGGCAGCCTGGTGTCGGCAGCACGCCGCGGAGGTGTGGAGGCTCCAAGGGCAAGAGAGCTCGGACAGAACCAAGGCCCCAGCAGGTCCCCTGCTCACCCCTTGGGCTCCAGGGACCCTCTGAGCCGAGCCCTCCCCACCACACCTAGTGCGCCACGCCGCACCCACCCATTTGGCAGCCGGCGTTCCAGAAGGGCTGTGGGTTGTAGTTGCTGGAGTCCACGCGGTAGGAGGAGGGGTAGATGCGGGAGAGCTGGTGCTGGTTGAAGCGCAGGTACTGCGCCGGCTTCTGCTGCAGAATCTGGTGGGCCTTGGTCTCGCTGAAGGACGACACCTGCCAGCTGGACACCGCTGTGGTACCGGTGACCGGTCGTCAGACTGCGAGTCCTCGACCTCGCCCGGCGCCCAGCAGCATAGCAGGGATTGGGGACAGGGAGGCCTCCACCCGTGCCAGGTCCCTGAGCCACTCACCCTCCATCTCTATGTCGTGGGTGGCCACGGACTTGGTGTACTTCACCAGGTCAGAGAGGGCCCGGGACAGCTTCATGGTCTTCTTCTGCCGGGTCGTCCTGTGGCAGGTACAGGGTGTCAGAACCCCTCCCATCCAGGGCCAGCCTGGCACCCAGCTCCGTGAGACGGGCTCCAGGACTCAGGCAGGTTCATTAATTCACGCAGCAGGCCCTGAACCCTGAGAGACAGACCCCAGACTGGGCTGCAGGCTGCGGAAACCCGAGTGCCAGGCAGGATGTGGGCTGGCTCGGAGCTACCGGCAGAGGCAAAGGCTCCAGGCACTGTGTGCGGTGGAGGATGATGTGGTCTGCCAAGCGTGGCAGGTGTGGGGGCTTCTGAAAGGTTCTGAGCAGGGGAGAGCTGGGGTCAGGGCCTGGGTCTGGACTAGAATCACTATGTGGAGAGGAGGCCGGGGTCCAAGGGGGCCTCCGTGTCACCCAGGTGGCAGCAGCGCATGTGGATCAGGTGTGTGCTGAGGGCAGAGCCCGGCTGGCACGTGGGACGGGACTGGACAGGAGGGGGCTGTACCCAGGCGAGGGGCACAGAGGAAGCGCTGGGGGATGGAAGTGAGGGGAGACGGCAATAGGAGGGAGTGGGCAGCACGGGGGAGCCCAGGGTTGGGGAGGGGCGGAAGCTCCTTCTGGGCTTGTAGGTTTGAGATCCCAAAGAGACTCCAGACAGTGCTGAGGGAAGCCTCAGACACAGGGGCCCGGGCCTTGAATTCAGCCTGACTGGACGGGAAGTGGGGGAGCCACTTGATGGCAGGCATTTGATGCCCCCTGGGGAGGGCATGAGGCTGGGGGCCTCATAGGAGGAGGCGAGGACCAAGGGCCGACAGCCCAGCAGCATCCAGGCCTGTGGGGACCTGGGCCCTCCAGCCACCTGCTCGGCCACCTCTGCCCCCACTGCTCGCAGCCACCAGCCTGCCCTGCACACCACACTCCCCACCACTTCCCACTGCTTCCCGGGGCCAAGAAGTGGGTGGGTCCTGCCCGGCTCGGGGTTGTCCCTGGTGGGGTCACCGCAGAGAAGGGGCTGGCTGGGCCAGGCTCCCAGGAGTGTACAGGGCCTCCCCGTGGGGCAGGGCACCTACCCTCGGCTCTGACCTCCCGGGGAGTCCTGGCCCTCATCTCCCTCCTCCATGCTGGCCGCCTTCTTCAGCTTGCTGCCCTTCTTCTGTGCGGGGGGCAGAGGCATGAGCTGTAGGGCCCCTGGCCCAGGTCAGGCCTTGGCGAAGCTAGGGGGTTGGGGAGGGCCTGTCCTCCAGGGTCCCCAGTGGCCCACGCAGCGTCCCATGTCCATCCCACCTGGCTGGGCCTGCCAAAGCCTCCTCGGTGCCCTCCCAATCTGGGCTCTGGCGGACACCCAGGGCAGCCACAGGGCACCTGAGCTTGGGACAAGGGCCAGCGTGGGCCAGAGAAGGGATGTGAGCCAGCGAGGCACCTGTTCCCACCAGCTCCGAGCCCAGGCTCCTGGCCCAGTCCCTGGCACCTGCAGCCGATAGCTCAGCCCGACTCAGAAGGGATCCTGCAAGCCAGGCTGGGAACCCTGGGGGCTGGGAACCCTGGGGGCTGGGGCAGGGCCCACTGGGGCACTGGGAGCAGGGAGAACACTGGGCCCAGACGGGGACCCTGGCCTGGGAGCTGCGCCGGACCTTGCGCCTGGAGAAGCTTCCCACGACGAGGCGGCCGTTGCGTCTGCTGGCCCCAGCATCCTCCCCAGACTCCACGTCCTCTTCAGCCTTGCTCTGAGTCCAAGGGAGAGACAGGGACACGGTGAGCCCAGCCTTGAACCAGGCAGGGAGGCCGGGACAGCTCCCTGGTCGCCACAGGAGGCCTTCCTGGAGGAGGTGGGCTTGAGCCAGGTCTGAAGTAAGGCAGACGGGGGAGGAGAGGGCAGGGCGGGGACAGGTTGGGGAGCCCCGTGGCCGCCATTCCCAGTCCACCCTGGGACAGAGCCAGCTGCTGAGGAGAAGCAGCCTAGAAGGCAGGCCCCAGTGGAAACATGTGCTCACACCTGCCTCAGCGTCTCTCATGCGTTATTTTAAACTCATTAGGTTCGGAATCTTTTTTCCCCACCAGTGGTGACTACATAATAACTGCATTTGTGTGTCTGGAATATTCCTCGGCCAGGCCTGCTTGCGTAACCCTTTTACGAGCGTTCCGTGGCCCTGCCGCCCTGACCTGTTCCCATAACGCGCAGGTACCACGTCATCAGACAGACAGCTCCAGTGGGTGCTCCCTGAGGCAGGCCGTGAACCAGGAAACCCCAGGAAGCCACTGTGAGCCTTCCTACCACTGTATAAGCAGCAGGCACATCCGGGGCTCCCCTGCTTGCCCCCCGCTGAACCCCGGGCCACATCACCAACTACTCATTCATCCCAAAGCTCATTCCCAATGGAACCAGCAGAGCCTGTGCTACCACTTGACCCCTGCAGCCCCCTCCACAGACACCCCCAAAACATGGCCCGGCTGTGCTCAGGAGGGGCTCCCATGCACATCCTGTCCCCCACCAAGGGTGGGGGCTGCTTTCTTTGAAACACCACGAAGCCCTGGGCTTGCAGCAGGGGTCCCTGTTAGAGAGGAACTTCCGCCAGAAGCGGACACAGCACCCACCCGTGGCCGTGCCCCTGTAGACGCCCACCCCTCTGGACACACCCCTGCAACACCCACAACACGCCCCTGCACACACGCCCTCCTACACCCGCGGATGCTCCCACACTGCTGCAAAGAGGCCACTGCAGCTCTCACGACCACAGACTCGGCGCTCAGCCACGCCGCAGCAAACCGCTCCTACTGCTCCCCGCTCTCACCAGCCTGGACCTGTGCCTGCCTGGACACTCCCTCACCAGACGCATCGGAAATCAGGACACATTGTGTCCGCAGGCCCCATGCCAGGCGGGCCTCTCGGTCCTGTTGACACAGCCGGGGAGCTCCCGCCAGCCTCCCTGTGCTCTGGTACCATGGCCCGGAGGTGTGCCCTGCCCCTCCTTCACCCTCACAGGGAGCCAGGATGGGATTGGACGGCCCTTCCCACAGCCCAGAGTGGCCGCGGGGCCTTCCCGTCACCAGGCTGCAGTGGCCGGAGCCCGAGGCCCCGTGTGCACCGCAGCAGGAGGCTTCCGGGTTGTCCAGGTCCACACGGCTCTCAGACGTGCTCGTCTCTCTCCACCTCCAGAAAAGCCAGCCCCGGTTTCCTCTTAATTTATTGACGCCACAGCTGCCGGGAGAGGCGCCAGGAGCCAGATTCACAGTGCGCCTGGAGCCAGTCGGGGCCACCACACTTCACAGCTCCTTAAACATCCCCAAAACGCCGCAGTGACCCAGAGCCACGAGTGACTGTAAATCCAGGCATGACCGAGGAGAGGCACGCACTGACCCAGGAGACGGACGGCCAGACACAGCCCGTACTGCATGGCCAGACCTGCTGTCACCCCTGGGACTCCCAAACAGAGGAGACAGCAAGACCCGACCATGCTCCAAGGGGCAGCAGAAGGCCCAGGAGGCGAGGGGGCCTGGAGGGTAGTGGAGGGTCTCAGCCGCCCCCCAGCCCTGCCTCTGTCAGGGAGGCTGGGTGCTGGGCCCCAAGGGGGTGCTCAGGGAAGGGTGCCTGCCGGGCGAGGCTGTTGGCAGTACAAGCACTCACTGGGTTGTGCCCAGCTGTCTGGGGGTGGGTGCCCTCCTTACCCATCCGGCTTGTCTCCCCAAGATACCCATTCCTGCTCCCAGGCCTCAGGGACGCATGAGTAGAGGCCTCACGTCCTCAAGGTTCATGGGCACGGGGACACCGGCTGGCCCAGGGGGACAGAGAGGCACAGGTGTCCCTCAGTGGGATTTGCCATTCCCACGACCCCCAGCCCACAGACACCCCCTTCACCTGGGCCACACCCCCAGTGAGCTCCAGGACTGAATGCATCCCGGCCTGGCCTTGGGATCAGCTCCGCCCCTCTCCTGTGCTAAAGGCTCTGGGACCCTTCTGGAGTGTGTGTCCACACCCAGCAGGGAGTGTCTCTCATCAGGGTGGGATTCCCGCTCCTTCTGCAACCCTAGTGGCTGTGCCTGAGCCCCTCCTCCTCCTACAGGAAGCCGTCCCTGAGCGCAGAACCCCCAGCAGCAGCTCAGACGTGAGGTCTGCAGGGGACCACTTTCCTGGACCTGCAGACGCATCTCCAGGTTTTGCACAGGCCCAGCTGGCTGCCCAGCGGAGCCACAGATGGCCACTCTCCCCCACCTAGACACCTTGGGATAAAAATAAAGGAACGCCTGTCAGCTCGGGCCCCGCAAGAGCCACCTGCACAGGGCATGTTCCTCGAGCTCTCCTGCGGTGTCAGCTGTGCCGAGTGCTCCGAGGACCGTGGGCGGAAACGCAAACACCTGAGTCTAAAAATACTGGTCCTGGAAGGGGACACAGCACCCCCACTTGGCCAGGGAGAAGTCACCTTCCCACCCTCTCCAAGGGTTAGGAAAACAGCAAGGTCCCTGCAGGGACAGGCAGAACGAGCCAGTGCCACAGGGCACAGTAGAGCTCTCCAGGCACCAGGAGACTGTCCCCAGCACAGGCGCCCACCAGCACTGTCACTCTGTGGAGGGTCTGTAGGGCCTACCTACGCTCCCCACTCGGTCCCACCCACAGCAGGACTGCAGGATCTGCCGGCCACAGCTCCTGGTTCCTTTGAGGTCTACAAGGAGGCTCTGTGACCACAGGACCCGGCCCGCCCTGCCTGTCACCTCTCACCCCACACACACTCCACTGTGTCTGCCATGACAGCCCCTGAGGGCCATTCGCTCCACATGGAAGCTTCCCCACGTGGCCACAGGCAGCTCCAGGCGGGGTGTGGGGGGCTGGGCAGGGAAGGCCGTCAATTCCCCACAGCGGGGCAGCTCCCACGACTGACTGGGTTTTGAGACCCCGCTGGCAGGTGGGTATGGATCATGCCGGTGTATGTGCAGAGGTGTGTACAGAGGTGTGCTTGTGTGCAGATTTGTGTGTGCACAGGTGTGAGTGCACACCTGGAGGTGTGTGCGCACAGACCCATACGTTCGGGAGCCCTGGCTGGCCCACAGGCTGGCTGTCGGGGAGACCTGTTGGCATCAGGGGTGTCACCTTTTTGGCCTCTACCTTGCGTCCGAGCTTTCCAGATGGGGACAGTGTGGAGACGGAGAAGTCGTTGGGGTCCTCACAGTCCCGAATCTTCGACTCCTTGATGAGGGAATCCAGTTTCCTCTTAGCAACGTTTTCTACACGCTTTCGATTGGTGGATGCCTGCAGGAGCCAGAGGCCGGCCTGTTGGCATCTGCCCCAGCCCTGTGAGCAGTGGCAGTGACAACCCGCAGGGTCACAGCACTCTGCCCACCCCAGGCTCACGGAAGGCGTGAGTCACTTCGGGGCCTGCAGGCAGCCACAGGCAGGACAGGAACCCAGGCCCACCTGATTCCTCCAGCAGCACGAGGCTGCCCTCAGCAGAATGTGTGTGGCTTCTGGCCCCGTGGCCTGAGAGGTCAGTGCGCCAGCAGGCGGCACAGGGTCTGGAGTCCCACCACTGGCTGCCATGTGCCTCAGAAGATGGCAGGGCCAGGGGCAAACTTCAGGGTGGCCTCTGAGCTGGGCTGGATGCCCTTCCCTGCCAGTGCAGCCCCTCGGGTGCCCCTGATGAACTTGGAATCCTTGAGGGCAGGGCCTGGGCCTCGGGTGTCATATGCCCCTGGTGCCAGGTTGGAGTGGGCACAGAGCCAGGAGCACCGTGGAGCTGGCTTTGCCGTCACACAGGCCACACAGAGGCGTGCGCTGCACATCCCAGGCAGGAAGAGTGCTGCTGCCTCAGGACTTTCTAAAATGGTTGGCCGCGTGACCAGGAACACGCCACACAATTATCTTCCCATGCACGCTCCTCTGGGAGCAACGGCCTTCGCTGCCTCGTAGCAGCAGCCCCAGAGCAGTGTCCAGAGGAGAGGAGATCGGCGCCCCCGAGCCCAGCACCTCAGTCAGGGGCTCCTGACTCCACAGCCCCCCGCCCGGGCCCTGGTGGGGACACAGTGACAGCACTCTGTGGAGGTGCTGCTGATGGGAACCCCACATCAGAGTTGACCTTAGAGATGGCACTGCTTGGAGATGAGGCCAGCACTGGCCACGGGGGTGGCTGGGCAGGACTACCAGCCACTCAGCGTCTGGCCAGACTTGGTGGGAAAAAGGGCAGGAAGCTGGGAAAGCCTGTTCCAGGGCCTGGGTGGGCCAGGTACCAGTGGGAATGGGGTGGAGTCTGGCGTGGGACCCAGCCCCCAGTGCTGCCCCCACTTACTGAGGGGCCAAGAGGACAGGGCAGGGGGAGTGGATGGCACCCCAAGAGTCAGCTCAAATGTGGGAGCTGAAATGGAACAGGCAGGCCTGCAGCTCTCATGCAGAGGGGTGGGTGGGCAGGGAGGACCCCCCAGGCTCCGGGCCACTGTGCACATCTGCCCCAATGTCCCTCTGTCCCGGACACCTCCCTTTCTAATTCGCCCCAGTAGCAAGGACGGACAGCTGTTCTTGAGAACTGCAGGCTGCACCCGCCCCCCCACCCCCAGCCCGACTCACATCCCCATTGAGGAGCTTGCAGTCATCGTCAATCTCATCAGCGCTGTCCTCATCAGACACCTCGCCTTCCTCCGCATCCTCGCTGATGTTGGCTGGGAGCTTCTTCCCCTGAGGGAGGCGGTGCACGATGAGAGGGGCCCTGGAGAAAAGGCTGGGAAGCCGGCACCTGGCACCCACAAAGAGCCGCCGACCAAGGAGAGGGGCCTTTTCTCAAGCTCAGTTTTGGAATCTCAGCCATGGGGCAGGGGCCAGACTGGCCAGTTCCTTGTGGCTGCAGCAGCGTGGAGGGAAGGGCCTGGATATGCATGAGGAGGTCCTGAGCCAGAGTGACCACCATGGGGAGATGGAGCCAGGTCAGGAGCATGGCCAGCCCTCAGCCCCCCAGATCTGCCCACGGATGGCATGATGCTCCTGCCTGTCTGGAGCAGGGCACTGCCCCAGGCCCGAGACTCTATGTGAGCTGGTGCCAGGAGGGCAGGAGCTCACTCACCTTCACAAGGATCTTGCCCTTGAGCATCTGTGGAGAGGGGAGCATGGTGGCATCCTCACTGCTCACTGATGACAGGTCCAGCTTGTCCCCAAGGATGTCAGTCAGATACTGGGCCATTTTCTTCTGCTGGATGACACTGCAGTGGTTCTCAATGGACAGGATCACTGGGTACCTGTGGCCCCAAAGCAGAAGGAGCAGGATGAGGCCAGGGCCTCAGAGGATGGGTAGGCCCCACCTCTGCAAGGGCCCACCCCAACCATTGAATGAGGAGGGGTCTTCACCAGGAACCCAGGATAGCTGGGACTACCAGCAGCTCTGGGAGGTGGCCCACCCATCAGTGGCTTTGAAAAGCAACTGAGTGGGTGGGAAAGGAGCTGGGAGAATCTTAGGGACTGGTAAAGACAGCATGAGTTTCTTTCCCCAATAAGGAAAAAACCAAAGGCAACTAGAAACTCCAGGAAAATAAAAGGAACGTTTGAAAAAGTCATGGTTTTAAAACGATGTGGACAAAACCAAGGTACAGTGTGGAGCAATAGATAGGCTGGGAAATAGAATCCCTTTGACCTAGATACTGGGGACACTGTCCTCTGAATGGCCCTGGGGTCCTGACATTGGTCCCATAAAGAAGGAGACATAAGCCTGGCACACACCATCTGGTGGAACATGGTTATTACCTGCACAGTGCAGAATGGGGAGTGTAGCAGGGACTTTTTTTTTTTTTTTTTTTTTTTTTTTGAGACAGAGTCTTGCTCTGTCACCCAGGCTACAGTGCAGTGGCGCGATCTCAGCTCACTGCAAGCTCCGCCTCCCAGGTTCACGCCATTCTCCTGCCTCAGCCTCCCAAGTAGCTGGGACTACAGGCGCCCGCCACCTCACCCGGCTAGTTTTTTGTACTTTTTAGTAGAGACGGGGTTTCACCGTGTTAGCCAGGATGGTCTCAATCTCCTGACCTTGTGATCCGCCCGTCTTGGCCTCCCAAAGTGCTGGGATTACAGGCTTGAGCCACCGCGCCCGGCCCAGGGACTTTTAATTAGAAGCTTTTCAGCTTCATTTTTTTTAACCATGTATACATTTTACTTGGATTTTTACCAAAAGACAGCCATGATTATTTTAGAAAATGTAAGTGACCCAGAACAAGAGATTAACCAGGGCAAGAGATGAGCAAGTCCTGTGATGTGGAGCAGGCAGGCAGGGCACCAGGGTGCAGGGGCTCATCTCCCCACTTCTCAGGCAAGAAACTGAGGCCTGAAGCCCAGGGCCTACAGGAAAACATTGTGCCTGCACAAATTACACTGGTCACAGGTGCAACCCTGTCCTGAGATCCCAGCAGGCCCCTGGCTCCTCCCGGCTCATCCCTCCTCCCCCTATCCCCACCCCTGTGCCCTGTAATGCCACCTACAGTCCCAGGGATGGGGCTGGCTTGAGACAGTGACAGCAAGGGCCAGCTCTTCTAGGGGAGGCCCATCTATTTCTGTCTCCTAAATCAATCTTGCTTTTCCTCTCTTTCTTCATGCAATTAGCTCCTTCCCCACCTGCGAGCCTCGTGTAGCCAAGACTTAAAGGTAACTCAAACCACACGGGGAGGTGGTCTTCTAATTCCAGAAACTAAATTGGATTTTTGTCAACAGTGTCTATAGCCACAGCTGAGTGACAGCAAATTGAGTCTGGACATAGAGTGGTTTCTCAGGGGTGATGAGTGTGGGAGCCACGGCTGCTGTGGGCACTGACACTGGGAGGTGCCACCAGGCGTGTGGACGAGCTGCTCCTGCGAGGTCCCTGCCTAGACCTGCGGCCACAATCTCTCCCTGCCCTCTCTCCTCAACCAGAGATGCCAGAATGAAACTAGCCCCCTGGTCACCACAGTCACTGCTCCCAAAGAAAGGACATGTGGGTGTGGCAGGAAGAGCTAGAGCCTGGAGACCCTACGCTGCCCACCTCTGGGGCCAGCCGCCCAGGCCCAGCCACTCACTCATTCTTGATGAAGGCGTATTTGTTGATGGTTTCGATGACATCCTTGAAGAGGATCTTGGAGGTCAGAGTGTAGCCATGGTGCACGATGGGCTCCCCATCGGGCCCATCCCAGCAGTCCACTGTAGGCAGGTAGACCTTGGTCAGCCCAGGCAGGCTGAGCTTTGACCAAAAGAGAACCTGTCCCGTTGCTCAGTGAGGGACACAGAAGAGGCCCCCCCAGCCTCTGCCCAGAGATCCCCCTAGAGGGTTCCTCAGGGGCAGCCCATCTCCCACAGCTGATGCCAGCCCACGGCCACCGCCCGAGGTCCAGGGCTTACCCTCCACGCAGCGGCAGCCAGCCTGCAGGACCCAGGCGTACATGTCCACCCGCGACTGGGACATGAGCTGGTCACCCACGAGGTAGGTGTTGTGGGACGAGGTGATGAAATAGTGGCTCAGTGGCTGCGTCATATCCTGGTGCACGTGGTGGTGGTCAGGATTGAAGATGTCACCAGCAGGGCTCCTCGTGTAGTTGGTGAAGCCTGCAGGATGGCATGGCATAGGGGCCATGTCAGCCCACCACCAGCCTCATCTCATGACCACCTGCCCCCATGCCACACAGAACACAGAGAACCTGTCCCGGCCCACAGGCTGGGCCCTCGTTGCCCCTCCAGCACCCCAGGACAGCTGGGCTGAGAGCAGCGCCCCACTCACCATCAATGCCCAGCAGCCCCTTACTCTTGTTTTCTGGGCATGGCTCAAACTGCTCGATGATGTCCTGGCAGCTCTCGAGGGTCACACCCGTCATCTAGGCCAGAGCAGGGGCATGAGCCCAGGTAGCCCATCCCTGGCCTGGGATAGCCTCAGGCAGCTCCCCCATCACCACTGTCCCCTGCCTGTCTCTTACACCAGGGATGACCATGGTGCCCAGGGGCACTGGCCAGCCAGCCCCAGTGTCACATGACTTGGGACTACCATGGATCACGTGGCTTTTGGATGACTTGCTCTGACTGTGAACTCTGACAGCACAGGAGGGGCCTCTGATCTCATCAGCTGGATCACCCCCAACCAGTGCAAGAGCTGTGGCCCAGAGTGGGCCTGGCGTGGAGCAGAGGCCATGTATGGGTGGGTACAGGAGAGTGAGAATCTTCATGCCCCCTTGGCAGAGCCAGGCAGGCACAGGCAGCCCCCTTATGCAGCCCCTCCCACTGTCTGCCCAAGTCCCCACACACAAACCCTCCCAAGAGATCTGAACACCACAGTCCAGCCCAGCCCAGCCCAGGCCGCCCCAGGCATCGCAGGCTGAGGAACCTCCAGGGCGCTATGGTGCAGCTGGGCCAGGAGCTACCCAACCCAGCGACGGGGCTTCTCGGAGTTCCCTGGGAACATGGTGAGGTAACAGGTGGGGGATCCCACAGCCAGCTGTGGGCCCCTGGGGAGGCCCAGCAACCAGGAGGCCAGGAAAGGGCACCAGTTGCTGGCTGGAGGACTCTGGCTCCTGAGTCCAGGGAGGGTTCCAGAAGGCTTGGGGCAAAGGTCAGGGAGGGAAGGGTCACTTCTGCCTGCCAATCCCCCATCCAGGCCCCGTTCCCACCTCAGCCTTTACTGGGACATAGGACCTACTGTCTGCAGCCAGGTCACCCACAGACATATGCCGGTGCCGCCCCTGGTGGCCAGGGCACAGGGCGTCTGAGACAGTGGGGTCCAGCCAGCTGCTGCTAGCCTTCCCAGCCTGGGCCACGCCTCCCAGGCATCGTGCCTGCAGGATTGGAGAAGCGGCTGCCACGGGATGGAGCCTGGCAAGCTGCGCCGTCAGGTCGGGGCATCCCGGGAGCTCAGGCCCAGGGGCAGCCCCAAAGGCCAGCTCTGGGTTTGTAGTAAGCTCGGGGGTGGGGTACTGCTGGGAGGTCCTGGGTAAAACCCACCCAGACCCTACCTGGGATTCCCAAGGCTCCTCCTGCCATTCCCATCCTCCCCCTCAGACCATCACCGAGAGGCTGACGCAGTGCAGGTGGCCAGTAGAGTGGAGGTGCCTGAGCAGTACCCCCAAGCCGAGCCATCTTGGTCCCCTAAGGCTTGCCCTGTCCCTGCTGTCCTCCCTGAGGAGGGTCCAGGGTCCTCACCTGCACTCCTACAAGGCCGGAGGGTGGCCACACAGAGTCTGAGCCCCTCCCACGGAGCCCTGTCCCCACTGGGGCTCTGGCCTTCCCGTCCACTGCCTGGCTGGACCTGCAACTCCTGCCACCAGGGCATGTGGTACCCAGTCTCTGCCTAGGCCTGGTACAAGATGGCCAGAGCCCTGAACCTCTGGACATGAGGTCCCCGGTCAGTGGGGCAGCGTCCAGGGAGCACGTGGCCTTTGCATTGGTCTCTAAGGATGGCCAGGACTTCTTGGGGTCTAAATAAAGGGGTGAACATGCCCCTCTGGACTCCACGAGGCATCTGAGTATCTGCTGGACAAACGTGAGTGGACATTGTGGCGGGCCTGGCACCCTAGGGGAGCGAGTCAGCCAGACTCATGTGGCTGGAACACAGGGGCAGATCTCAAAGGCTGGGCCACAGAACGCTAGTTCACAAGATGCTCAACACCAAAGCAGGAGGCGTGGTCAAGCTGTGGGAGGCGCAGGGTGTCCACAGTCAGGACCAAGCCATTCAGAGGCCCCTGGAGGAGAAACCACAAACCTTCCATACCTGCTTGGCTGCCCCATAGGGTGCACCCTGTAATATCAAAACTAAAGCCAACTTGGGGGGCTCTCAAATGCCAGGCTGTGACCTGCCCCGCCCTAATCTCTCCATCTCAGAGCAGGGGCATGAGCCCAGGTAGCCCAGGGATGGCCTGGGATAGCCTCAGGCAGCTCCCCCATCACCACTGACCCCTGACTGTGAAGCTCAAAGCTCAGAACAGAAGGCAAGGCCTGATGGCTGGCCCCCCAACACCTGCCCGGGCAGCGCACCTTCTGTTCCACCTGCAGGAAGCGCTGCAGGCTGGCGGCATCCAGGTGGTCCTTGTGGTTGCTGTAGGTCAGCATGAGCAGGTAGAGGTCCCGGCGGGTGGACATCATCTTGTAGAAGGCACAGAACTCTTCAAAACCCAGCGTCCCTTGGTGGTCGTCAGTATCTGCTTCCTGCAGTGCAAAGCCTTGGGTCCCCATTGGCACCTCGACCAGGGCTACGTGCACAGGGGTCCTTCAGGGCCGCCCCGCTCCCCAGTCAAGACCAACACTCAAGCCCACCCTCCTCTACTCCACTGCCCTTGTCACAGCCTCCAGTCACTCCCCAGGGCACGGGCCCGCCCACCATGAGGACAGCCCCATGAAAATGCAGAACTGATGCACCTGCCCAACGCCATATGCCTTTCACCTTCAACCCACAGCCAACTCCATATACTCACCCCACACAGCAGTTAACACCACCCACATGGAAGCCACCACCACCCACATGGGAGCCAACACCACCCAGACAGGAGTCAACACCACCCACACGGGAGTCTACACCCCCACACACAGCAGTCAACACCACCTACACGGGAGCCAACACCACCCACACGGGGGCCAACACCACCCAGACAGGAGTCAACACCACCCACACGGGAGTCAACACCACCCACACGGGAGTCAACACCACTCACACGGGAGCCAACAACACCCCACCCAGGAGTCAACGCCCCCCACCTGGGAGCCAGCACCACCCACATGGGAGCCAACACCACCCACACGGGAGCCAACACCACCCAGACAGGAGCCAACACCACCCACACGGGAGTCAACACCACCCACACGGGAGTCAACACCACCTACACGGGAGCCAACACCACCCACATGGGAGTCAACACCACCTTACACGAGAGTCAATACCTCCTACACGGAAGCCACCACCACCCACATGGGAGCCAACATGACCCACACGGGAGCCAACACCACCCACACGAGAGTCAACACCTCCCACACGGAAGCCACCACCACCCACAGGGGAGTCTACACTCCCCCACACAG